TTTGTTTTGGCATGTTTCTTTAGAGAAGGGGAGACAGGGGTTTGCCATTGCCTTCTTCCCCTGAGGTTGAGAGAGTGTGACTTGTCCAGAGTCATCCAGTGGGTTTTCCATGGCTGAGCCGGGATTCGAACCCTGGTCTCCAAAGCCCTAGTCGTAGAACACTCAAACCACTGTAGCAGGCTGCCTATCATCATCATCATCATCATCATTTATTACTGTATTATTGTAATAACATTATTGTATTACTGCCACTTACCGCCGCCCGCCATGATGATATTGATTATTGTTGTTATTACTTGTTCTTGGGGTTTTCTTGGCAAAATCTCCACAGGGGTTTTGCCATGGCTTTTCTGGGGCTGAGAGAGTGTGCATGCATATTTTATTAATTTTTTTTTATTTTTTATTTTTATTTTTACTTTTTATTTTATTTATTTATTTATTTTTGGTGCTTTGGCCCCCCCCAATTGTCTGAGGGACAGCAAACAGGCCCCTGGCTCAAAAAGGTTGCCTATCCCCGCTCTACAGAGACAAGAACCACTTTTTAGCTTGGATTTGGCTGTAAAACGTCTCCTTTTCTCAAGAGAGTCTTCAGAGCAGCTCTTTCACACGCTGTCTTGTTTTGTTTTTTGTAGGCCTCAGTGTCCCCAGTAATTTCACCTGAGACAGAATCTGGTAAAAATGGAAAGTACTTTCCTGCCATGTTGAAAGCAAGACTCGGGCTGAACAGACGGCCCCTAATGCTACCCCTTTCCTTGCTGGATTGGGGCCGTGGCAACTGTATGCTGCAGCCCCGATCCAGTGCTTTGTCGTTCTAGAAAGAGCTGGCAAATGCTGCTCCTTTTCAGAGTAGCAAAAAGCAACCCTTGCCACTATGGCAGTGGCTTTTCAGCACTATTTTGGCGCAGCATGTGTGAATGCTGCACTACGGGAGTGCCCTGACGCTGCCCGCCATCTGGTTGGGTGGGTGGCATGACGTGGCATCGGGACAGAGTTGGGGTGGCCGGTGTGCAGTCGCCACAGCCCCACTCCATCTCCAGGCTGGCCCTCCCCAATGTCATCTGGGAGAGAGACACTAGGCCCAGCACCATCAGGCCTGGAATAAGAAGAAGAGCACTCCCTCCATTCCATCCGATGTCATCAGGGGAGAGACACTAGGCCCAGCACCATCGGGTCTAGAATAAGAAAAACCCTTACTTCTTAAAGGACGTGTGGGATTCGGGATTTTATGTTCTGTTTAATATATCTGTATGGAAATTTTAATGTTGTAAGCTGTCCCAATTGCTCTGCAGAGGAGCAGGATATTATTATTATTATTATTATTATTATTATTATTATTATTATTATTATTATACAGCCAGTCTGCAATAAGTTAAGAGAATGATTTTATTCTGGTCAGTCCAAATACAGAAGAGAGTTCTTGGCAAGAGCCATGCAGAGGAGCTTGGAGGAGAAGATGCTCAGTTCTGAGGTCCAGCATCAGCACTTCAGACAGTTTGTCTACCAGGAGGAGGCTTTGGGGCCCCAAGAGGTTTGCACTCAGCTCCACAATCTCTGCTGTCAGTGGCTGAAGCCAGAGAGACACACCAAGGCTCAGATTTTGGACCTAGTGATCCTGGAGAAGTTCCTGGTTGTCCTTTCCCCCAGAGATGGATATCTGGGTTCAAGAGTGTGGAGCGGAAACAGCCTCCCAATCAGTGGCCTTGGCAGAGGGTTAAAACTTCCAAATCTTTTTTCAAATTTAGTGTTTTGTAGTTATGTTTTGTTTAAATTGCAGAGACTTTGATATGGATATATAAGTGGGCCCTGCCTTGCTTTTTACATGAACTTTCACATGCCTTGAGAATTTGTTGTTGAGGTGCCTCATACTATCAAAAACTAGCTGAAATGGAAGAGCACCACATATTTAGTGGGTACTCTTGACACTGTAAATTAATTCCACAGATAGATGCTCAAACATTCATTTTTCAAATCAGTACTTCAACCTGTATCTCAATCTAATCTGATAGATGTAACAGTCTCCAAGGACAGAACAGCACCACTAAATAACAAAGGTAGCCACTTTGTTATATGGATAATACCAATTCTGCATTAATGCCATCCAGCACAATCTGTTCCATTTATGAGTTGGGGTCCATTCTCTCCTGGCACATCTTACTCAAGATCAGAAACAATCCAGACATTGTATTCTTAGAGGGTTACAATGGGAAATGAACATTAGGACAGGAAAACGTTGTGTTTAAGGGGGAAGGCTGGGGAAATGAACTGAAATTACTGGTTGATATGATCCCCAAATCCTTAAGAGATATTTATTTCCTGTACTTACATAGTATGTCAAACAATAGGAAGCATTTATAAAGTAAGAACGTGTCATTTACAATTAAGCAGAATGCCGCCCGCCGTCATGCGCATGTATGCGCGAATGCAGGCACTATTTTGGAATACAAAATGGCACCCCGCATTACGCGCACGCTAGAAAGGCAGCGGCAGCAACGGGAGTAGTGCGCATGGGAGTAGTGCGCATTTTCCCCCCCTTCGGCCTGCTGACAATCGGGATAGCGGAACCGCCCCCCTCCCCAAAAAAGGTATGTCGACCTCTGGTGTAGAGATATCTTAGAGCACGTGTCCTCCCCACTTGCTGCCTGTGTGAGGGTTTTTTCCTCCCACTGTTGGGCCCTTGCATTATTTGCCTTGTTCCCTCTATAACACTTTGACTATTATCTCCAGCCCATAATGTACTCCTGCCTTCCAAAATACTGTCTCCCTCCCCAGCATGACTCAGTTCAAAGCCCTCTTGATCAAATGTTTGAGACTATTGGCAAAAATGCTTCTGTCAACTGGTGTGAGATGCAGCCCATTGCTTGCTAGAAGTCCACCCTCATGGAACTGCAGTCCATATTCAAGAATCCAAATCGTTCTTGGTGGCACCATCTACGGAGCCAGTTATTCACGTCTTCAGGCTTCCTCTCCCTTCCTGGACCATGTCCTTAAACTGGGAGAAGAGATAACAACCTGTGTGTCCAGCTCTTTCAGCTTCCTACCCAAAGCCTCATAATCCCTTTCTGATATTCTGAAGACTATGCCTTGCAGTATCATTGATTCCCACATGGACCAAAAGGAAGGGCTAATGGTCAGTAGGGTTGACAAGTCTTGTCACCCTCACTGTCACATTATGGATTTTTGCCCCAGGGAGACAACACACCTCCTGGGACATCTTGTCAGGCCCACAAACCACTGCTTCTGTACCCCTCAACAAGGAGTCCCCAACCACCACCACATGCCTCCTCCAATACTTAGCAGTGGCTGTTTCCTGCAGTGGTACTCTCAGGGTCCCCTGCACTGTCCCTGCTGCTCTTCCTCTTCATCCTTGATAAAGGAGAGAGCTTCAAATTGATTCTGTAGCTGCAAGCTCCCAGAACGATCCCTGGTTTCCCTACTTCTGTGTGTGACATTCCTCCAGGTGTCCACCTCCTGTGTGCATGAAATGACCTCCTCAACAACTCCTCTGTGTGGTCCCCATCCAAAACCATTCATTCTGCTCTGTCCAGGAAAACCTCTTGCTCTCTAATAGACTAGGTTGCAGCATAGTCTGGACCCAAAGGGCTAGCATACCTACCAGAAACAGGACTGATGTGTCTCATCTCTAGAAGGCTGGCTAGGCACTAGAAGCATAGAATCACCTCATAGCTAAGAGAAGATGCTTTGTTATTTCTGATAATCCTACCCTTCCCTCCTTTAGCTATAAACTCTTCACTTAGTAATTAATTACCCTTCAAGAGTTGGGTTTATTTCTATTGGGGCATGCAGACTGGTAGAATCTAGCATACACACATGCAGAGTTGAAACACGTAGTCAGAAGCACCCAGAAGATGTCTTCTGTGAAGAATCTTGCTCCATACGGCATAGGAAAAATCCTCCCACACACAGCTGCTGCTTTCAGCTTGGAGAAATGAATAGCTGAACAGCGAGACTTCACTCAGTGAGGGCTTTCATTTTTGTTGCAAATATTTACAAAGATACACAGAGTACCAGACATCCGTCTTGAACACTCACAGCTATACAGACCAACAAAGTGCTTTGCCAACCACCAATCACAACTAACCAACAACAGATATTCTCTCTCCCTTATATAGGTGGTCATCTTGCTAACGTGTGACAGCCATGCACTAATGAAACCTGGCTCGTTTCACCCCAAGTGCCTGTTGCATTAGACCTCCCATGATGCATACCTGGCTTGTCTCACCCACTGTGCATGTTGCATCAGGCTTCCTATGATGCAGAGCTTTCAAAATGCTGACTCATGACCTGAAACTTCAACTGTAGTAACCCTGTTACCATTGCTCCAGTTCCTTTCAGTGCCCACATCCAAGTCATTTTCCAGACCGGGGTGCCACATGGTCTTGACAGTTTCATACATGTTCATCTGGACAGGCCAAATTTCTCTCTTTATCTTTTCATTTCTTGCTGTTTTTATGTGCCAGTCTTTGTTGCTTTGTTGACCTATGTTTTGGTGCACGGATCTATCTTCATTTCTCTGAACATACACATGCCTACTTTGTTTTACAATTCTTTTCCTGAAATTCTCTTTGTAGTCTGTTTTAACAAGAGACCATCTGAAGTGGAAACAAAACATATTTGGGAATGATATCCCATTCTAAGAAACCTTATTTCCACAGTATCAGTATTTGCTGCTAGGGACAGATATATCCCAGTTACCAATGTTAATGAGTTCCTGGACATTGTTTTAATTATCAAGCTATTTCATACCAGAGGTAGAAATAACATGAAAAGAATAAGGTAGGTTCCTTCACCACAAAAAAAGAGGAGCAGTTCAACACATTTCAGCAAAGATTTTATTGAAATGAAAACAACTACAGTCGCTCCTATGTTCTTGCAGCTTTGAAGTTGCAAATTCACAGGGGGCGACCTCCATTAAAATCAAGGGGTCTCTTCCTGTAGTTTGAATCTATTGCTCCATGTCCTAGTCTTTGGACTCAGGCAGAAAGCAAGCTTGCTCCATTCTCAATATGGCATCCCTTCCAATATTTAAACATGCCTATCATGTCACCTCTAAACCGTCTCTTCTTCAGGCTAAACATCCTATGGGGTTTGAATATTTGCGAATCTCCATTTTTGCAGGGTGTTCCAGAATGGATCCCCCATGAAAACGGAGGGTGACTGTATATCA